CTTCTTGTGGCACCACCACCTTGGCCACCTGTCGCTCCCCCGCCTCCGCAGCATGGCCAGTCACAGTCTTATCTCAGGTCTCCCGCACGTTTTTCCGTCGCTCCCTCCCTCGCTTGCTCCACCTTGCACTCCTTGCGTCGCCGGCCGCCTGCGCGCCACTCCGCACTCCTCCTCCCTTCGTCCGGCCACTGCTCCCTTCCAGACTCTCCACTTGGACGTCTGGGGCCCTGCCCCTACGCTGGGACCTGAAATGGAGCGCTACTTTCTAGTGGTCGTTGACGACTACTCCAGGTACACCACGGTGTTTCCTCTCGCGAAGAAGTCCGAGGTGACTTCTACGCTGATCCGGTGGCTTCTGGCCACTGAGGGCACTCGTGGCAGTCGTGTCCGTTGTCTCCACTCCGACCGTGGGGGTGAGTTTCGCTCCGGCGTCCTTGCCGGGTTCTGCGGCGAGCAGGGCATCAGAGAGTCCTGGACGCTGCCAGAGTCCCCACAGCAGAATGGGGTTGCTAAGCGCCGCATTGGCTTGGTCATGGACATCGCCCGCACGTTCATGATCCATGCCCGTGCGCCCCATTTTCTGTGGCCCTACGCGCTTCGCTACGCCGTGCACCAGCTGAACCTCGAGCCGCGCGTCTCGCGGCCAGAGGTGTCACCAACCAGTCTTTGGACTGGGTCCCCTGGTGTTGGGTCGGTCTTTCGTGTCTGGGGCTGCCTTGCGCTTGTCCGCGACACCTCTGCGGACAAGCTCTCGGCTCGCGCCATCTCCTGTGTCTTCCTTGGTTTCCCTGTGGGCTCTCCCGACTACTCCTTTTACCACCCGCCCCTCCACCAGTTTCTTGACTCTCGTGACGTCCGGTTTGACGAGTCCGTGTCCTACTACACACCCGGTACCCCTGTCGAGGTCTCCCGGTTCCCCCTCCCCCCCTCTTCCTCGCACCCTCTCCTCCCCCTGCTCCCGCTCCTCCGGTACCCCCGCCCCCCCCTGGTCCTGCCCCGTCAGGTGTGTCTCACGCTACTCCTCTACCCTCGGTCGCGCGTCAGGTAGCGTCTCCCTCCCCGCAGTCCTCCTCACAGTCCCCTCAGCAGCCTTCGGCACTTTCGCGACAGGTTACTGTGGACTCAGGTGGTGTTGGAGCTGGAGGTGCTGGCACTGGTGGCGCTAGTTCTGGGGGTGCTGGAGCTGGAGGTACTGGCACTAGAGAATGCTAGTTCTGGGGGTGCTGAAGCTGGAGGTACTGGCACTGGAGGTGCTAGTTCTGGGGGTGCTGGAGCCAGAGGTGCTGGCGCTGGTGGCGCTAGCTCTGGGGGTGCTGGAGCTGGAGGTACTGGCGCTCGTGGTGCTAAATCTGGGGGTGCTAGAGCCGGAGGTGCTGGCGCTGGTGGCGCTAGCTCTGGGGGTGCTGGAGCTGGAGGTACTGGCGCTCGTGGTGCTAGTTCTGGGGGTGCTGGAGCAGGAGGTGCTGGCGCTGCAGGAGCTGATACTGAGGAGACAGGAGCTGGAGGCACGACTACTGCGGCGCCCACTGCGCCTCCCCACCGCCACGACACCCGTTTCCAGGCCCTTCGCCGGCTTGAGCGCGAGGAGCAGGAGCAGTTGGAGCAGGAGAGGCAGGAGTTGCAGCAGTTGGACCAGCAGCAGCAGCAGCCGCAGCAGCAGTAGCAGCAGCATCAGCTGCCGCAACCGCCAGTTTTGCAGCAGCTGTTCCCTCCAGTGAGTGGCCTTCGGGCCCTTGGTCTTCCTTCCGCTCCTCCTGTACACTCACAGTCTCCTACCGCGTACGGTCCTACGTTTCCTCCTCCGGACTCGACTCTGGCTGTTTTCTCTCCTCCTCGGTCACAATCGTCTCCTCCTGTTGTCCGGCACGATTGGACCAGTCGTTGTCCTCCACGTGCTCGGCCCTCGTCTCCTCTTGCCGACCTCCGCACTGTCTTGTTTAGTTCTCCTCCTCGGCGTTCTCCGCCTGTGTCTGTTCTCCCCTCACCACCTGAGTCGTCTCTCATCGTTTCCTCTCACCCTATCACTGTCTACTACCGTGCTGCTCGCCCTGTTGTCTCTCGTGTTCTCGCCTCTCTTGTCACCGACCCTCGTGCCTCTACGTCGTCTGTCTCGGCTCTTACTGCCGTTGTCGCTGACTTTGCTTCCACCCGCCGTCTTGACTACGCCACGCGTGTGGTGGCTGCTCCACCTCCCCGTCCTCTGTCCGTCGGGGGTGAGTCTGCCCTTGGCTGTGACGTCCTAGAGGACAGGCAGTTTAAGCTGGAGTTCTTAGCAGCCGCTTCCCCCTCTCTCTGCGCCATGCTGCTTTCCCTTGAGGGAGACCCCGACGCCCTTGACATACCGACACCTCGCACGTACCGTGAGGCAGTGTCAGGGGAGTGGGCCTCTCAGTGGAAAGCGGCTATGGATGCAGAGTTAGCGTCTTGGAGATCCACAGGCACTTACGTCGACGCAGTTCCCCCTCCCAGGGCGAACGTTGTCGATGGCATGTGGCTCTTCAAGGTGAAGCGGCCGCCTGGTTCACCGCCTGTGTTCAAGGCGCGCTACGTGGCTAGGGGTTTCAGTCAGCGTGAGGGAGTTGACTTCTTCCATACCTTCGCCCCGACCCCAAAGATGACTACTTTTCGCCCGAAGATGACTACTCTTCGGGTGTTACTGCACGTAGCAGCACAGCGAGACTACGAGCTGCACTCCCTTGAATTCTCCACTGCGTTTCTTCAGGGCCGCCTACACGAGGAGATCTGGCTGCGCCGTCCTCCTGGCTTCACTGACACCTTCCCACCTGGGACCCAGTGGAGCCTAAGGCGACCGGTCTACGGTCTCCGCTAGTCGCCCCGTGAGTGGCACAACACACTTCGCTCCACGCTTCGTGACCTTGGGTTTCGTCCTTCCTCTGCCGACCCGTCGCTGTTTGTTCGTGCTGGTTCCACTCCTTTCTTTATATTTGTTTACGTCGACGACTTGGTCTTTGCTATAGCAGACAGGCAGCTCTGGCTGAGGTGAAATCCGAACTGCAGAAGAGACACACGTGCACTGACCTTGGTGAACTGCAGCGCTACCTTGGCCTGCTGATCACCAGGGACAGAGCCGCTCGCACCATCACACTGACTCAGTCACACATGGTGCAGCAGGTCCTTCGGCGGTTCGGGTTTCAGTTCTCCACCACACAGCCCACTCCTCTTGCCGTTGACCACCGACTCACAAGCCCTTTTCCCAACGAGCCCTTTGAGTCTAGTGGTCCCTACGCAGAGCTTGTTGGCTGCCTCATGTATCTGATGACTTGTACTCGACCGGACCTCGCCTTTCCCCTCAGCGTCCTCTCTCACTTTGTTGCGACTGGGAGACACCGTCCTGTTCACTGGACAGCTGCTATGAGGGTGGTGAAGTACCTGGCGACTACATCAGGCATGGGGCTTGTGCTTGGAGGGACACAGCCAGTTGTGTTGACCGGTCACTGCGACTCTTCCTACGCTGACGACGTGGAGACTTAGCGTTCGACTCAGGGTTCCTGCTTCAGTCTGGGTGCTGGTGCTGTGTCGTGGAGGTCTACACGGTCGTCGTCTGTGGCTTCGTCCAGTGCAGAGGCAGAGATCTACGCTGGTGCCATGGTGGCACAGGAGCTTCGCTGGTTGACCTTCTTGCTCGCCGACCTTGGTGAGCGGCCTCGCTCTGCACCGACCTTGTACGTTGACAACAAGGCCATGGTCCTCCTGTGTCGAGAGCCTCGACTGGAGACCAGAGTGAAGCATATTGACATGAGGTGCTTTCTCCTGCGAGAGCTACAGCGATGCGGCCAGGCACGCTTGGACTTTGTGGCCTCAGAGGCCAACACTGCCAACGTCTTCACCAAGGCCTTGGCGCCTGGAGACCACCACAGGTTCTGTGTGCAGCTAGGGCTTGTTGAGGTAGGCCCACGGTTGCTGTAGTGTTGCTCTTGTTGCGTGTCCTGCTTGTCACTGCCTTTATATATATTGTGCTCTCTTGAACTGGCCTTGTGGCCGCTTGCTTGTGCTCGGAATTTGTGTGGTATCCTTGAGATCCACCCTGAGCTTGCTTTGCTTCTTGTATTGACTGGTCTTGTGACCGTTTGTTCACCCTGCTTGCTTTGATGCCCCTCACTTAGCCTATGGGGGTGTGTCAAATGTTATTATAGGTTCTTAGGCTACAATGAGTAGCACTCTAAGGAGTACAACCCTTTTAGGGTTGAATACTTGTATCCCATCTTGCTAGTCTCAAACCATTCCGTTGCATTACACTCTTGAGACGGTAGTCATCATCATTCCGCTTGCACCACTCTTGACATCCGGCTCGCCAACCCGCCCACTTGCCCATCTCATCCCTGACTTTTCGGTTGCTTCTTTACCGCTCAACCTCCCCTCCTACTCCCGTTGCTCTTCCACCCTTCTGTGATTCTCGGTAGTGCTTTCTTTGCCTATGTACAGTATATACAATATGTACACTTCCTTTCCCTCCCTTATCACGCGACAAGAAGCTTGGAGTTCCTGCATATTTTTGGCAGCGTGGGCGTGGCAGTATATTTCGTGCATGGAACTAAAACCACTTCCTGTAGTACAACATACCAGCTAGCACACACAGTACCACACGCACTAAAGAACTCAGCCAACCGTCAGCAAAAGTTGGTTCCTGGCCTCCGAGCAACCGCATGCAGTGCAGTTGCTCACACCTCTGGCGCTGCCAGCTTGCACCTCCCTGCCCCCTGTCATAAACAAGGCCTGCCGTTCTTCCCATGCCCACCAGACCCTTCCTCGAGAACATGATCACAAAACGCTCTCTGCGTTGCATCAAGAGGGGGAAAATGGAGGGCAGGCCACAGGGTAAGAAGTGAAATGAGAGAGTAGATGATAAAAGGAAGTTTAGAAAATCGAGATGTGGGAACAGGTGAACGTGGGTGGTGGAGGTGGTGGGAGGCGATAAATAGCTGCACGAGCTTGGAAGAGAGCAAGGCACAGAGCAGAGCATGCATTCATCCCTCTCCCTCTTACTCCGGCACTTCTTGTTCACCATTTGGAAGCCCTCCCTGCAGCCACACACTGACCTTCCTCCCTCCAACATGCACCGGGTATTTCCAGTGCAGGCAGGCTTGCACTTGGCTGGCAACGTCAAGAGATGGGGGGTAGGGAAGAGGGGAAAGGACATGAGGCTGAGTGGGGCAGCAGGCGGGGAAAGAGAGAGTGAGTGGCTTGGAAGGAGCGGGGGCATGATGATGACAAAGAAGCACCACAAGCACTCCAACTCGAGAAGCTGCCCGGCTGATTCTTTCATGTTGGCAAGCATGCAACAAACAGCAACGCACCTACGAGGAGGAGCAGCGCGGCAGAGCTTCTTGGCTGCGTTGAACACGAGGCCCTCGGGGCACTGGCACTGCGGCTTGCCCTCCTTCACAACGCACTCAGCAGCCCCACAATCCTTGTGACACGTGGCTGTTGTGGGCAGCACAGAGAGACAAGCAATGCAGGCGTAAGGAGACAACTGGTCAGAAATGAATTAGGAGGCATTTAGACACAAGGGTCAGAGAAAGGTTTCTCTGGCATATAAAAGGTTGGGTGTGTGGAGGGGGTTGGGTGTGTGGAAGTGGTTCGGTGTGTGGAAGTGGTTCGGTGTGTGGAAGTGGTTCGGTGTGTGGAAGTGGTTCAGTGTGTGGAAGTGGTTCGGTGTGTGGAAGTGGTTCGGTGTGTGGAAGTGGTTCGGTGTGTGGAAGTGGTTCGGTGTGTGGAAGTGGTTCGGTGTGTGGAAGTGGTTCGGTGTGTGGAAGTGGTTCGGTGTGTGGAAGTGGTTCGGTGTGTGGAAGTGGTTCGGTGTGTGGAAGTGGTTCGGTGTGTGCAAGTGGTTGGGTGTGTGGAAGTGGTTCGGTTCGATATGTGGCACGTCATTGAACTTGTGACGAAGGATCAAAACAAAATATTGAATGCTCGGATATCGTTTGCGTGCCGTGGCACGCACGTGGAACAATTCAGGTGAAATGAATAGATCCTGGGTGTGAGTAACATGCATCGCACTTACTGATTTCGCAGCCAACTAATAGCGGTGAACCGGTGAGTTTGACACGCCTGAGAGAGGGGAGAGGTAGGAATGGGGAAGACCAATGATGAGCACGGCTTGCGACAGTCACTCCTCCACTCACGCTACAATGGCCAAGCGAACTCTGGTGGTTGAAAGGCGTTACACCCGTGCGTTACAAGCATTGCAGACTAAACCACACAACACGACCCTCGTGCCCGACTGGACCGTGCAGTTTGGGCCGGTGAAGAACGCGAGGCACTTGCACATGCCGTTGCTGTTGCCGGTGGTGTCGTAATCCCACACCACCGTGACGTCCGCGTCCGCGTCGATGCCCGCGTCGATGTCGAGGTTGAGGTTGTCGCACACGCTGCTGCCAATGGCCTGCTCTGCCGGCACCCCCGTGTAAAAGCCAAACTGCTCCGAGTTCCTTGATTTGCGCCCACGCAGTAGCACAAACGTCGGGAGGTAGGGGCCTGAGCAGGCGATGACAATGATTGGTGGGGCGGTGCCGTATGGTGGCCGATGAGTGAAGGTGTAGTGACAATGATGAGGGTTTGCAGGAATTGAGTTGGAGGCGGGAGATGGGAAAGTAGGGAATAGGGACAGGCAGGTGGGAAAGAGCGGGAGGAGTGAGGAGGCGAAAGCAGCTAGTCAACGTTCTGGTGGAAAGCTTCCAAGCGCTGCCTCTCAGCGTTGCTAGCTGACATGTGCTTGACTCCAGAATTGCATTGCCTACAACTCAGCAGGACAGACATCGGCAGTGCAGACCTGACTCACCAAAGCATGTCATGTCAGGCTCGTTGTACTTCATATACCTCTTGTTGCAAAAGCAGGTGGTGGAATTAGCCGAGTCCCAAGCGCAAGAAGGATCTCTGCCACACTCCTTGATGCACTCCTTTTCTGCAGCGGAAGGCATGGGTGGCTCCACGGTGGAGACGGGCAAAGGGGTTAGTTAATTAAAAAGGTGAAAACTGTTGCTTGTGCCTGTGAGCTCACCCACCCACACGCACACGCAGTCACACACGCACTCACCGAGACACGTCTTGCTGTCTTTGTTGAATCCAAAACCGAGCCGGCGGCACATGCACTCGCCATCCACGCACCAAGCTTCGTTCCCACACTCCTCGTCATTGGCACACTCGGCTGCTGAAACACAGTGGATTGTTTCAAAGTAAAGTAAGGACATCAAGGCACACAAATCAGCACAGAGGCACACACATCAGCACTGAGGCAGCATAGGGAAATGGAGCTAAAGTACAACCAGGGAGTTGAAGTAGAAAAAGGGAGTTCATGTACAAAAGGGGATTTACATACAACATGGGAGTGAAAAGGAAATTTTGCCTATACCAATGGTGCACTCACCCACTCCAGCACCACCTAACCAAGGTTTGAGCGGTGACGAGAAGGAGGTGGGTGCCATGACGCGCAGGGCTTCATGGCGACAGGGAGTCAACAGCGGACAGCGGACGGGGATCGCGATGACGGCGGGATGGCGAGATATTTCAGGTCGGGTTGAACCGCCGGGACTAACGTCGCTGGTAGTCGCGACGAGGTGAGATTGGGTGGGACCTCGAAGGTGCGACTGACAAGGTGGACTGAGAAGGAAGCAGACCTAGGCACGCAATGAGCGAGGAGTGGCGGAAGAATGGTGATGCGAGTCAACCATGTTGATTTATGCGGAGAATTCTAGACTATGGGAGAGTTGGCGGGCTAGGGGCCGCGTAGGTAGAATTCTGGCTGATACTCTTGACAGAGTTGTTGTTTGACTTGGTAGATTTGAGCAGAGAATCACTATGAAAAATGATTGAACAAGTATAGTACAAGCAAGATTGAACCAATATACTAGAAGAAAGAACCTTGCAGAAACGTTCCAAGAGGGAACGTTTAGCTAACTACCAAGCATGTGCCATGCCAACTCAGCAACGGCAGGTGGGAAAAACAAGCCCATGTATTTCCACCTAACTAGGTAGTTGCCCAGGTTGTACACCATCCATAAGTGTAAACGTTTTTGCTGTTACAAAAACGTGTAGCAGGTTCATTTTTGTTACTGGTTCAATTTCCCCTAACGGGTACAATTTCCGTCAGAATGCGATTGGTCAAAATTCCCTGCGCTCCCATTGGTCGAAATTCGCGCACATCGAATTTCTCTCCGAAATTCGAATGTGCATTCGCGAGGGTGCGCAGGGTCAGACGCGACCCTGCGCAGATGAACTTCCGCGAACTCCTGCACCAGCTGCGCCCCCTGCACATGTGCACGAGATATTGCTGCTGCACCTGCGGACCAGGGCTGTCGATTGGTTTTAGGCCAACACTTGAGTGGCTGAGGTCCCCTATTTCCAGCCCTGAAAATTCTGGGAAGCGGCTCTTTCCAACCCCTAAGCGTCCGGGAAAGGCCCCATCTTAACACTTGAATTCAGGGCAACGCTTTAGCGATAAGGGCATGATTTCCCTTAACATTCACAAGCGTATTCTCCTCTAATACTGGAAGCCGCAATTTTCTTAAATTGCCTAACTACCCTAATTGAAGTGGTAGACTTGCGGCTCTAACAAGGGGTAGGGTGGGGGACGAGGGGGGTGGAGAGTGGGGGTGGGCTCCGGGAAAGGCCCCAAACTTGTACGGCGAATCAGGGCAAGCCCCCAAGTGCGCCCAGTAAGAATCAGGGGAAGGCCCTGACGACGCCCTTTAGAATTCAGGGCTGTACTGAAAAGCAACCCTTTAAATTCGTACCCTGGAGCGATGTCAGTCCTGAATGTTCAGGGCATGAAGGGCAAATGCCCTTGAATCGTCAGCCCTGCTGCGGACCCCACAGTACCTCGTGCACAGGTACCTCGGTACATCCTGTGCACGGGCACTTCTTCACCTCGTGCGGACTCCTTAGTCCAGCTTCTGCGGAAGCCCCTGCTCTCGACCATGCACCTGCAGGGCTTTTCTCAACACTCCCCTGCCCTGCTAGTGCATAGGCACAAAGGAGGTTAACATTCTGCGAAAGGAAACTAGCTATCATAGAGTATAGGGTGACGAAATGAACTTCGTCAGCGCGTTCGTCGTCGCGCAACATCTCACCACACCAGCCATGTTGAAGGACATGGCACCTACTTCTGCACGACGTCCTTGTCGACGTCCGTAAGGTCAACTTGCCCCACTGCGACGGAACACTTGTTGAACGCGGGGAAGTGCAGCGCCTTCGTCAGGAAATCCGCCGGCTGCTCGCTCGTCGGAATGTACTGCAGCACAAGCTTCTGGCGCTTCACCATGTGATGAAGCCACATGTAGTGACGCTCCATGTGCTTAAGATTGCCCTTGAGTTTCAGACCTTCCGCAACCGTGATTGCAGAGGAGTTGTCCACGTGGAGGATGGTTGGCGTCCTAGGATCAAGGAGCTGGAACTCTGCCAGAAGGAAGCGCAAGCGACGTGCCTCCTTGCCAGCCTCTGTCGCGGCGACGTACTCAGACTCCGTCGAGGAAAGTGTCACACACTTGATCCTCTGACTTGTCCACGAGAAAGCTGCGCCGCCGAAGACGAAGACATATCCGTTCGTGCTGCTGCGCTTCTGCTTATCACCAGCGCCATCAGCATCCGCATAGCCAACCAGACGCAAAGAATCTTCTCCACCAAACTCCAGAGCCATGTCGCGCGTATCCACCAAATAGTCGATGCAGCGGTCCAACTCCCGCCAATGCTGATCGCTGCGCACGGTCAGCCCAGAGCCCAGCTTACTGCATGCGAAAGCAATGTCTGGGCGAGTAGTGGTCGCGGCGAACTGCAGGGAGCCCACTTTCTGGCGATAGTCTTCTTCCTCACGCGCCTGAAACTTTTCATCGTCGAACGACAGTTCGGCGTAGGCGTTGACGGAGACCGGTGTCTTCAGGACTCGTCCGGTCTGCTCCTCGTCGATGAAACGCCTGCGCAGCTTGTCGACATAGGCCTGCTGATCTCCAGCCCGAGGTACTTCTCGACCGGGCTGATCTCGCGCAGCTCAAAGGCGGCCTCCAGCAGCTCCTTCAGCTTCTTCAGCATCGCGGTGCTGCTGCTCGCGGCGAGAAGGTCGTCGACGTAGACGAGCACCCAGCACGCCACTCCGTCGTCGCCAACCTTGAAGTACAATGCCTCGTCAACCTGACTCTTGCTCCACCCGGCGCCGGTCAGCACTGCGTCGAGCGCCAAATACCACAGCAACGGTGACTGCTTCAGCCCATACAGGCTCTTCAGCAGCTTGCATACGCGGCCGGTCCCGTCGTCGTAGTAGTCCGGCTGGAACATGTAGAGCACACGGTCAAGCTTGCTCTGCATGAATGCGTTCTTCGTGTCGAGCTGCATCAGGTGCAGGCCGAGGACGGCGACGCTGCTGAGGAAGATCCGCAGCGTGACGTAGCTCCCGACCGGCGCGTACGTCTCCTCGTAGTCAGCGCCGTACACCTGCGTGAAGCCTTTCACGACCAAGCGCGCCTTCTCCCGGGCAACCGTGTCGTCGATGTGATACTTCGTCGTCAGCACCCACCGGTTCTTCATGACATTCACGCCGCGCGGCCTCTCCACGAGTTCCCATGTGCCGTTGGCGATGAGACTACGAATCTCCTTGTCCATGGCGGCCTTCACCGCCTTGCCCTTCCAGCTTGCCAACGCTTCCTTGACGGTCATTGTCGCGATGTCCCAACGTCGCTCAGGGTCTGCATTTGTATCAGGATCAAGCTCCGGAAGCGCAACGTCCGCATGCGCATCATCGAGAAGCATGCTGGCAAATGCAGGGCAGGCATTTCGGTAACGATGCGGTAGCACACCTTTGGTTGCGCGAGTGGAGCGTCGGGGCAGGTTGTTCGCCGGAGCACTTTCTTCGGCGCACGCAGATTCGCGCGACAGTGTGTTGCTTGGTGGCTCTCCTGTCACCTGCTCCCCTGCCACCAGCTCTCCTGTTACCAGCTCCCCTGTCACCTGCTCCCCTGCCACCTGCTCCCCTCCCACGTGCTCCCCTGTCTGCTCATCCGTACCAAGCTCGCCAGCCTCCGCATCAACTGCAGGTCGACCGCCGACGATGCCAACGCGCGGCACAGCATGTGGCGCGGCATTTCTCCCCTCATTGTTGTCGGTCGACTTGGACGGGGAGTCGGCAGGGGGTCGAGAGGGCCCGTTCGCAGACGGAGCAACGGCAGGCGATGATGGTGCAGGCGGAGGGACCACAGGGACCACACGGGGGTAGACATGTGGAAGGGTGGAGGTGGGGATGGATCTGGGAACATGAAGTGGTGCAGAATCTGGAGCCGGAGCGTCAAGCGGGTCGTCGATCTCGGGGACAAGAAGGCCAGGTGATGACGCTTGCGCAGGGACACGATGGTCCGCGGAAGGTGGTGCACGCTGTGCCTTCCAATAATCCAGCGACTGCGTTTCGTAAACTATCACCTCGACGGTGGTGACGATGCGATTATCAGCAAGATCCAGCACTTCCCAGCCTTTGCTTGCAGGCGAAACACCAAGGTGAAGACCCCAGCGGGCCTTTGGTGCAAGCTTCCCACCGCGCTGATGTTGTGGAACCATGAATTGGACCATGCATCCCCACACGCGAGCCATGGTGAGGTCCGGCTTCGTCTTGTACATCAGCTCAAACGGCGTTGTGCCTGTGGGCAAGGAAGCACGTTCGATGCAGTTGCGCACCCACACAGCCTGGCGAAGGGCAAGATGCCACCAGTGGTGTTGCACGTTCATGTGCAGGAGCATCGTCCACACCGCTTTGACGACCGTCCGCATCCCCCGTTCAGCCATCCCATTTTGCTGTGGAGTGTATGGGCATGTCAAGTTGTGGACAATGCCTTGCTTGTCGAGGAACTTGGTGAATTCTTTGCCCAAAGTTCTCCTCCTCGGTCAGAACGTATCATCTTCACCTTTGACGGCTCACGCTGCCTCTCCACCTTCGTCAGCCACTTCTCAAACTCTTCCAGCACGTCACTCTTCTGCTTGAGCGGGAAAGTCCACACAAAACGAGTTTTGCAATCCTTGAGGAGAAGGAAGTATCGACTGCCATCTTTCGCAGCAACGCGAAAGGGTCCGCATAAGTCAATGTGCACGACGTCCAACACATGCTCGGCTTCGGAGCCTTGGTCGAGGAAGGTGTGCCTCACTAGCTTCCCACCAACACAAGAAACGCAAGGAAGA